AACATTCTAGCAACGTTTACAGCGACACCTTGAAACAGAACAAACTCAACGATTAGCATAGTTTACATTTGAGATATTATAGCAATCTGCTACAACATTACCTTTGAGAATTTCCGCTAACGGAAGTGCTTTCGGCATATCTTGTCGATAGATGGGTTGAAAGGAATATTTGTAATTGCATAGTTCACAAACTTCCTTCTTACTGTAATTTTTCAAATTGGTTCAATGAAAGATTTGGAAAACCGCATAATCCATACCTATATTTCAACCATTCCGTGAGGCACTCCTGATGAACATATTTTATACTTCCGGTACAAAGACATGGGTAGTATAGATGACCATCATCACCACGACATACCCGGCACATATCTGAAGGAAACAAAGATGGGAACGAGTGAGAATCATTGACTTTTCAGTTTTCTGACCTGCACCCTCCTACAAGTTTTCCACTACCTAGCAATGAAAATGTTGTAAAGAAAGATAGCAGGGTGATGGTCACAAGTGTTCCTAAGGCCTACAGAGCATCAGATGCTCATAAAACACTCAAACCCGCTATTACGATATGCTGAAAATCCTCTGTAGGCAAAATATAAACATCTTTACTGCAAGGGGATCGCGTATGCGAACTGTATGTCCAGATATGTATAGATAAAAAGCTTGTGGGGCTAGGCACAAGGTTATGACTTCTGACCTACCACTGAGCCAGATATGCATGTACATGTCCAAAGTCGCACATCGTATACTCTTTTATTCAACTGGATTGGCGGCTGGAAGGCAGGGCTTCGGGACCTAATTAGAGGCAGTGACCCCCGAAAATTTGCATTCCGGTTTTTCAGCTTTTCAAAACCTTCTCGCCATGCTGAAGCCATACCTGGATTTTTCAGTGCATGAAAATGGCAAAAAATGAGCTTTTTTTCAAAGCTCTCCTTGTCAGCGGTAGCTCCGAATGCATGTAAAAAATGGGCGGACCTGGAAGTGGGCGGGGTCCGGAAGGCGAGTGGATTTTGGGCTTTCTAGAGGCGCTTTTT